CGAGTCCTTGGATTGTTACAATGGTCTGTCGCTCTTCTGCTGTCAGACACAACACTGCACTTGCTTACCCACATGAAGCTGGTTACATAAACACCTACATTTCATCTGGATCCGGCCAGAAGGTTGGACAGATGAGAGTAAAATGGGTGCAGAGACCCATGCTTTTGTAACAACTAGGCTCAACTATGGCTATTCTCTATACCTATGAATGAAGCCTGATGCCACAAGAAAGATCCAACTAGTTGAGAAACCTACAGTCCACCTACTCACCAACAGAGGTCACTGGGAACATGTATTCTTAAACACCATACTTAGCATTGGCTAGCCATTATACAGAGACCAAATCAAGATTGCTGTCCTGAGTTTCAAAGCCCTGGATTAATGTAGCTATTGCACATGCATGCACAGTCCATATGCTAATCCAAGAACATTATGAAGCATGGAGGGAGGGAAACTGTTGCGTATGCACAGTAGCTTTCAAATTATTTCTCCCTTAAACAGACATGGTTTAGGGTTCACAGTCAACTTGAAAAGTAATTAATTGAAAATAAGTTAAGCAGTTTTGGATACCTCGTCTGCCCCAAATCCCTTGCCACTTTTTGTGTTTACAATAATATATGTCCTTTCTCTCTTCTCTATGTGGTTGCTACACAAAAGTCCTACAACCAGTGAGAACAGACTGATTCAAGTGGAAATTCTGACTCCGGCTTACAAACAAAATAAAAACTAAAAAAAGAGAAAACACTTATTCCTTTATTCTTGCCCTTTAAATATAAGATGACTATTAGCATTAGACAGTACAGCAGTTTCAGAAGTAAACGGGATTATTAAAATGACTGATTTTTTTAAATTGACAACTATTATGATTACTCATTTTCTTCACTGACTGTCTAAAGATTTGATCCAAATAGAAATGAAGTTAGCAACCAAGTCAGATAAACTAAATAAACTATTCTCTGGGCCACTGCTCCAGGCTTACATTATTACCACCACCATCACCCACAGGATCCCTAGTCATGGATCCTGTACAAACACAGAACAAAAAGGCAACCCAGCCCCAAAGAATTTACCATCTAAGGCCAGGTCTACACTACAGAATTACGTTGGTATAACTACATCGCTCAGGTGTTTGCACAATCTACACCTGTGAACAGTGTAGTTATACTGATCTAAGTGCCAGTGTAGGCAGCGCTCTGTTGGTGGGAGAGCTTCTCCCGCTGACATAGTTACCGTCTGTCATGGAGGTAGATTAACTAGAGTGTCTTCATTAAAGCGCTACTGAGGAGATGAGCATTTGAAGTGTAGACCTATCCCAAGTATAAGACAACAGATGTACTCTCCCTATCAGTCTGTTAGCCTAAGGATACAATGAGACAATATTGGTCAGCACGATAGGCAGTGGTCTCTGCACTCCAGCAGCCTAACGGTTACATTTTTTGTAGGAATCATGGCAAAGGAGGGTATTGAAAGAAGGTAATAGAAAAGTTTTCTAGATGCTTACAGAGCACTCCTCCCAAATCTTAAGTGCAGCAAGGGAGAAATCACAAAGGCAGTTGTTTGAAAACCTAAGGAATGGGCAATGAAGGCTGACACCATTGATTCACTAGGGGGAGAAGTCAACTTTAACAGAGAATGAGAGATGGTAGCTAGGTGGAGATAGGTTATAAAGGGCTTTGAAAGTGAAGACAAGTGGCTTATGTTTTGATGCAACAGATGACCGGGAAGCAATAGAGGGATGCAAAGAGAAGAGTGACATGTCAAAGCAATGGACTAGGAAAAATATTTTTCAGCATTATTCTGAATAGATATATGCAAGACAGTAGTCAAGGCCAGAGAAAACGATTGTGCCATATTCAAGATACGAGATAAGTGCTTGGATAAGAGTTTTAGCTATTGTGTATGGATAGGAACAGCAGTATTATAGCAATGTTATAAAGAAATATTAGGCAAGATTTAGACATAGCCTGGATGTGAGGACCTAGAAAGAAGTCCTAATCAAAGACAATGTCCAAGTTAGAAGCCCGAGCAACAGGTAAGCTTGGTGTGATCATCCACAAAGAAGGAAGTGGGAAGGACTCAGAAGGGGGGGGGGGAGAGTTTAAGAGCTCCAAAGAAGGAGCTGAAGGAGTGATTGAAACAGGAAAAAGAACCACGAGAGGAAACAACCATAGAAGCCAAAGGAGGACAAGATTTCAAGAAAATGAAGAGCATGGTAGACTGTTAAAAGTAGCTAACAGATAAAGGAGGTTAAGGATGGAGTATTGGTTCTGAGCTTTGGTTAGGAAGATGTCACTTGACACTTCGACAAGAGTGGTTGCAGTGAAATGCAAGGTGCAGATGCCAGATTGAAAAGCGTCTAGAATGGAAATTGAAGAGAGGAATTCCAGACAGCAGTTGTAAAACACCACATTCAATTAGCTTAGAAATTAAAGGAAAAAGGGAAATGGAGCAGCAGTTGCTGGGGCAAGTGGGGTAAAGGGGGAGGCGCTAAGATGGGAAGGCTATAAAATCCTTAGGTGAAGAGCCATAGAAGAAGAGTGAGAGTTTATGGAGAAGAGTCAGAGGCCTAGTCTTCACTTACCGGCTGGTCCGGCGGCACGCCATCAATGTTCTGGGATCGATTCCGGAAGTGCTCACAGTCGGCGCCGGTACTCCAGCTCGCCGAGAGGAGTACGCAGCGTCGACGGGGGGAGACTTCCGGCCGCGTCTGGACCGCGGTAAGTTCGGACTAAGGTACTTCGAATTCAGCTAAGTTATTAACGTAGCTGAATTTGCGTACCTTAGTCCGAAGTCCGGACTAAGTGGGGACCAGGCCAGAGAAATAGGGTGACCAGATGTCCCATTTTTAAAGGGATAGTTCCGTTTTTTGGAACTTTTTCTTATATA